CAACCTAATATTTTGGATTGACCAAATTGTTGGATTTTTTTTTTAAATTATCACGAGGATGGGGAGTTAGGATTGAAACTAAATAGACGAATGAGATTAAGATACAATTGAAAACCTTAAATGAAGGGTTAAGATTAAAATTAAATGGACGGTTTATATTGAAGATATAAATATATATAATTAAAATAATACACATGTATGCATAAATTCGGGTTGGATTGGGTTTACTCGATGTTTAAAAAATTGAACCCGAGACCCAACCCAATCCTTACGGTTTGGGTTGGATTTGTCGGGTTTTTCGAACATCCCTACTAACCATTCCTCTCTCTCTTTACAGAAAGATCAAAATGAATATTTCGAGAGTAGAAAATCAATATAGATATTTAAAAAGTATAAGAATGAAAATAAACTAAAATTAAAAAGTATACCAATTAAAAATCTAAAATTAGGCCGTTGTTGATTTATTATTCTAATTGTCAAGTCTATAACTTTTGTTTTAAATTTGTCTCTGTACTGATAAAAATTTATGTTACTGTCCTTATAGTGAATATATAATTAAGCAGGTAGATTGAAATTGAGGGAAATAACCTTCTACATTTTACTTCTTCTGTTTATTTGTTACTAAATTTAAGGTTAAATTCCAAGTTTGAGCCTTCYCTTTTAAATTGTGTCTAATAAGTTTTTCAACTTTAATGAAGTATTTAATAGATAGTCTAAATTTTATTTTTTTAGTACAACATATGGAGTGAGAGATTCAAACTCACGACCTTTTATCCTACATAGGTGTCCTAACTCGCTAACTTATATTTAGATTGACTTTTTGTTTTTAAAATTTAGCTAAGAGTTCAAATATGTTTATAATAAAAGTTAAAAATATTTTTAAAATCGAAAAATACATTTGAATTATTAGCCAAATTTCAAACACAATTTTTTTTTTCAATTTTTGGCTTAAATTTAGAAAACAGTAGCAAAAAATACATGCAAAACAAAGAACATGAGTAAAATTAGTATGTACAGCTTAATTTTCAGGCTTTTATATATTATAATGTATAATAGTTTATCTTTGAGAAAGATCTTTTTAAAAAGTACTAATCTATAATTTAATCTCTCAACTTTGATATTTATTCTATTTTGATGCTAAACTTTAAGCTATTTTGTTTTAGTTTCCAAATTTGCAAATATTTTATTTTATTTCCAAACTATATAAAAAAAATATTTAGTTCTCATCATTAAATTTTCTTACTAATAATACAACAAAAATCTAAATGAAATTGAAAATTTGATACCTAACTTATTTACGTGTAGCTTTAAATATTTGTACATGAAGATGTTTATTGATTAGATAAATTACCGAAATGTAAGTTGTCAAGTTTTTATTAAGTAATTCACAAAAAAAATTTAATTATATGAGAAAAAGGAATTTGATATACAAAGTTCAAGAATTAAAATAAAATGTTTTAAAATCGAAATACAAAAAATAGAACRAATATAAACGTTAATGAACCCAATGAATCAACTGATAATGAATGCATAAAAAACTAAAATAAATAATATTTTSTAAGACTATCACACTTCTCATTGCTCGATCGAGATTGAAATCGTTTTAGTTAGATCATATCCAAGTTCATTTTGTCTTTACGAGGACCAATCCTGTTATTTTTAGGAGGCCTACGCCCCATGAAAACTATCTACCTGAATTTGTCCCTTGRTTCGTAGGTAGTCGTGACACAAGGTTCATAATTTAATATTATGCACAATAAAACAATTTTTTTATGGGAGGATTCAAACTCATAACCTCTTGATTAAAGATTGGTGTCAATAACCACTGAACTCAATTCATGTTGATTAAATATTAAAATAAAATCACTCGTTCTAGAATCATCTCAAACATATGAGATTAGTTGTTTTAAAAATATAATTCTAATTAATTGTTGAATCACTTAATAATAATAATAATAATAATACTAATTTAAGCCCTTAAAAAAACTTTAATTTAAAGTCGAAGTCCACTGATTCGTGTACGACAAAATTGACATTCCCACTAAATATCTGGTTTGGTCAGCAAGAAATCAACGAGACCTAATTTGAAAATCAATTGCTCATTTGTCAATTGGCCACATACTATTTTTTTTTTCCCTTTTTTTTCTCTAATTACCATACACATTTATTTCTCTCTTGTCGTTTTCAACATAATATGATTATCAAGCCCAATAAATTTGAATTTTAAAATTTTAACTAATGTTTTTACATTTTAACATAAAATAAAGTCAAAATTACCAAATTTTAGACCACGAAATAAATATATGTATATTGTCATATTGATAGAATTTGAGTTTGTCACCAAACATTTTAACAAAAAAATTAAAATTCAACAAACATTTGACATCAGTTTTATTTTTCGTCAATTAGTCGCTAGAGTTTCATCGACCAAAAGGAAACATTCTTATAGTGAGAAGCGATGTGAGTCGAATTGTCTGAGTTGGACTACTCTACTAGACCAAATAAGACTTRATCCAATTAGACCTCTCCAAGCCAAACTAAAGAGAATGTCTTTAAAAATAAGAGGAGTGATTTGAGGCACAAAGTACGACGACATAAAACATAAACATTTTACTAATCTCGATTATTGAACCTTTTATCTGATTTAAACATCAAACTTTTTGTATGATTTAAACATTGAAGTTGGGCATAGGCACCTAGTTGTATCGACATTATACAAGCTGTGCGGTACATTAATYGTAAATAATTATTACTAAATCTATTAGTTTTTGTCTCTGAAATACGTGTACACTATTTTGTATAATTCTTTTTTTCATCAAGTTTATTCTTAATTAACAACAACAATTTGACATTTTGAAAAAAAAAATACATATTTTTTGTATGACTTGATGCTTTTTTTAATGTTAAATATCTGTTTCATGTTATGTACTTAATTTCAGGGAGAAAAAAACAAAATCAACACTTCCAGATAGAAAACCTACCTGGCCTGAATTACTATAAAAAATGAAAGGAAAGCCACGCATTTATTTCCTGATATTCGTGAGTGTTCGGGCCAGCTTACGCATACTTCGACTAATCTCACGGGACAACCATCTAATCCTACAATATTTGGTGTCGGAAAACACATGGTAATTACTAATTCCTAAAGTAAATGGTCATCATGGAAGAGAGAATTGAAAAATGACCTCTATTGAAATATAAAATTAAATGATAGTTTTAGCCTACATTTATTCGTCTAAAAGTTTTAGCCTACATTTATTCATCTAAATATTTGAGTGATATTTTCTTTCCCTTCTCGATTTGATTATTTTTGGATCATCAGTCTCTGAATTTTGAGCTTAATTTTATACATCTTCTTTTACCATGGTTTCTAATTAATTTTTTTGTACATCAAATTGGGGCGAGAAATTAATTTTTGTTAATTATTATGCAGGTTAAATTTCACTCCTAYATTTAAATTTTAAATTTCTTCTTAGTATTTTTAACTCATTAATTTTAATAGTAGTGGCTGATAATATGTTGAAAAATTATTAATTTATATCAATATGTTACGTCAATTCATATAAGTATAGCCAATCTTAACATATCTTAAGATATATCTAACCAAAAAGTCATGAATTCGAATTCCTATTCTCACATGTTGTACTAAAAAAATATCATATCACGTATAAAGTTACACCAATTCACATCAGTATCATACTAATTTTGTTTTTTTGTTATATTTTGAGAAGATAAAATTGAAAATTTCATAAAGTATAAACTACCATAATTATTTTTTTGGACACTCATTTAATTAGGTTCTTTATTTGGTAGGTGAAATGAAATTCTTTTAAAAAGTTTGAAAATTGTGTTATTTGAATGTGTGAATGCAACGAGGGAAGGTAGGGGAGGATGGAAATATGAAAAACAAATCTTCCAAATTCATTATGTTATGCAGTAAATGACAATTATACCCTTTTTTATGCTTTTAAGACAAGTGGAATAGCTTCTCCAGCTTTGTTCAGACCAACCTGGCATTAGATCATTGGCCAAAAGCAAACTCTTAAAGGGACAATCTTGGAAAAAATTTCTAGTACCAGAGAAGTACTCCCTTCGTTTTCATTATATATATATATGTATATGTATATTTTTTAATACAAGAAGTGGAGTGGAGGATTCGAACTCATGATTTCTTTATTAGAAATACATATCAATTACTGTTGAGCTAAGGTCATGTCGACCCTTTTATTTATATTATAGTTTTACTTTTAAATAAATTTTTTTAATATTGATAGGCTCTATCTCATCTATAATATGGTGTTGATGTGACGAGTATTGAAAGGAAGAAGTATCCATATTCCTAAAGTACTAGAAATTTTTCGGACAAAAAACTTCCATCCTGACGAAAAGTACACAATTAAAAAATAAATGAATATCTTTTTATTTAAAAGTTAAATTGACAATTTAATTTTTATAGTTTGGAATTCTTCTTGATTTAATTTTCATAGTTTTAAACGTTTGAATTTGGTCGGTATATAATTTGTTAAAGCCTCGAAAGTTGTTCTTTAACATTATTTTACCTCCTTAAAAAACTTACACGTTTTCCATTATTTATCTACTTAGCCCTAAATTCTAATACAACCAATAAATTACATAGTCATGCACATGTAAATAGAAAATATGTTACGTAATATGTAATAAATAAAAACAGAAATGGTCCGTGGATTTAACAAAGTGAGTAAATTACAAAATTTTAAAATTACAAAGTGTGTGTATGGGTAAATGAAATTAGTTTTGAAAAAGTAAAGGAAAGAAAATAAAAAACGTCATCATAATAAAAGAGAATAAAAAAGAAAAGAAATTCAATTCCAAAACGACCTTTCCTCTGTCTAATCAACCCTCCCTGAAAAATGTCAACCAGATTTTCTTTTCTCGTTCTGAACCTCAAAAATAAATATTTTCATCTATTTTTTTTTTCTTTTGGTAAGTAATATAAATACCGATATGCCGCGAACCGTTTTCAATAGTTTTTTGTAAATAAAAACTTCACCGTTCACACAAAGATTCAGAGAAGAAGAAGTTTAAAAATCTGTGGAGGATTTAAATCTCGGAAGTGTGCAAGCTGGGTTTGATTCTGGAAGGTGCAGCCATGGCGGAGGAGTTTCCGAGCAGTGGAAACTGGTGGGACGCTTCTAGAAGCCGCTACGACGCCGGAATATCCCCCTCCTCCTCCTCCGTCACCACCTTCCCCTGGCCGCCGCCCGACATCGCCGACGTCAAGCCCAGATCCTCCATCCACGACTCCGACTCCGACTCCGCCTCCGCCGATCCCAATTTGCATTTCATGGGCTTGGGCCTCGCCTCTCCGCCCATCGATTGGAACCACCCCTTGCTGTAAGTACCATTCCATTTTTCTAATTATGTGGCGGCGGCTGCAGGAGTTAATTGTTTAGAATGAATAAAGACCACTCAACTAATTATTTTTACGGAACAGTCGCGGCGGAGAGAAGGCGGCAGAGAGTAGTTTCCGGTCGATGCTGCAGCAGGAGAATATGCAAGAAACCGGACAGCAGCAGCAGCAGATTCAATGGATGAGATCGGAGAAGCTGTTTTCCGGCGAGACTCCGGCGAGCGAATTCAAGGCAATAAACCGGGGGTTTTCGCTGGACCATCATCAGGCGCAGCCGCAGCAGTTCAGTCCTCCTCAGTACAGCTCCGGCGACAGCGCCGTCACGAGTTTCCCAATGGACACGGCGGCGAATTTATACGGAAGCTCGGCAACATTATTACAAGGCTTATTAGGAGGTGGCGACCAGCAACAAACTTCGCCGCCGGCGCCCGCCTTGAATTTCCCTTACAGTGCCCATTTCGCGATGAACTCCGGCGAGTTAATGCCGCCGTGGTCCGCCTCTAAAGTCCCCCCGTTTCTGAGAAACTCCCCGCCGAAAGCGGCTGCTCCGGCGCCGCCACACAGCAGCCACTTACACTTCTCCAACAACACGCCCTTCTGGAACGCCTCCGACATCAAAGACGTGAGACCCAGCTTTTTCCCCTCCTACAACCCCGCTCCCGCGTATCCGGATAAATCGAAGGTATATCAAATTAAATTAACAATTTAGTCGCTAAACTTTAACCATTTTTCTTTTTTAATAAATTAGACATGTATTGATTGATTGGATAGCAGAATATATCGGAGGTTCGTGATTCGGGAACAGTAGGGAAAAAAAGTGGGAATGATCACAATCAACAAACGGGCGCAGCTGCTAAAAGGCCCCGAAATGAAACTCCGTCGCCGTTGCCAGCTTTTAAAGTAATTAATCTCGAAAATTATTGAATGAAGTCGCTACAATACAGTAATAAAAAATTGTAATATTCAGTTTAATTTAAGGTTAATTTTGTTGGTTGCAGGTGAGGAAAGAGAAGATGGGGGACAGAATCACTGCGCTCCAACAACTCGTTTCACCTTTCGGAAAGGTATATTATTAACCTTATGAATTCAATTCCTTTCAATTTTCTCTATTTATTTATTTATTATTATTATTATTATTATTTTGGTTAAATATCAGAAATAAAAATAAAATGTTTTTTTTATTCTTTATTTTTAAAATGAATGTTTGTGATTTTGTGTCAGACTGATACAGCTTCAGTGCTGTCTGAAGCAATTGAATACATAAAGTTCCTCCATGAACAAGTCAGTGTAAGTGCATATTGCATATTGCATATCCATTTTATTATTATTATTATTATTATTTTGTTATGAAATTATAAACCTTTTAAAAAAATTGAAAATTGAAAATTATTATTATTATTTTGAATTTTAATTTTAGGTTTTGAGCACTCCGTATTTGAAGAGTGGAACTGCAGTACAGCAACAACATCAGCAGCAGCAGGTAAAGTATTGTTCTCCTTTCAAGATTCTACCTTTCATTAATTAATTAATCACTAAAATTAATTATATTATATGTTTTAGGTTTAATTATATATTTTCTTGTATCATTTTATGTTTGTCTTGTCTTGGTCGTTAGGTTCTTGCGATTAATTACCAAATGCTTCTTCATAAATAAACTTGTTCATTGATATAAATTTCGTTAAATCTTTTAGAAAATCTTTCTTCTGTTTTTAATATTTAGTTAAGATTTTTTTTTAGTTGTGAAAAAAAAGTTATGCCTGTTCTTCAGCTACTAACCAAACTAAGAGAAGTAATTTTTTTAAAAAATTTGTATTTCTAAATTTGGTTGTGATATTTCGAAACTATACTGTTTAGTAATAAATAAATAAAAAGCTTAATTTTTACAAATAGAGAACAAACCGAAAACCATTTACAAAACTATTCCTCAAACCTTATTTCTAAAATTAAAATGTTTAAGCCACTTTACTTTTGAATTCTCGTTTTTGAAAAACTAAACTTATAAAAGCTACCAATCCTTATTTGTTTTACCTGTACTTTTGAAATCTAACCAAAATTTAATAATAATAATAATTACAATAATCAAAATAAATAATCAAAGTTTTCACAATGGAAAAAAGAAGAGGAGAAATTAAAAGTAGAGATGATTAGAAAACAGAGAAAAACTTTAATAAACAAACACAAATTATAAAAACAAAAATATAATCAAACAAGCCCAAGAGAACTTTACCATAAGATTAATAATGATTTTAGAGAAAAAAAAAAGTTCTTTTCAACAAAAGCACTTCTACTGTAATTTTTTTTTTTAAAGCACTAATCCAATTCATTTTCTAAACCACTTTAAATTAAAAAACTAAACACCATCAAATTTCTTAAAAAAACTCTTCTGAAGAGGCAAAAATACTTTCCACCCTTTTAAAAGTCATCCCAAAAAACCTAATTAATCACAAAAACAATAGGGTTTTTTCTTAGTTATTCTTTTTCTGGTTTCCATGACATGTGAAAAAGGAATTGGAACCTTCAATCTTTTCAGACAAGAATATGTTATTATATCTTAATCCGCTGAACTATATACACGCTACAATAAGGTCGGGTTTTGAAACCGAAAATAACGACGTTGTGGGGTTGTAAAAATTGCAGAGCAGCGAGAAATCAAAGGAAGGAGAAGGAGGAAAGCAAGATCTAAGAAGCCGAGGGCTGTGCTTAGTTCCAGTTTCAAGTACATTTCCAGTCACTCATGAAACCACCGTTGATTTTTGGACTCCAACCTTCGGAGGAACCTTCAGATAAAAAAAAACCAATCCAAATTTCCAACCCCAACCTTAATTTCTTGATCTTACTCACAAATATAATACTATCAATATCACATCGTCCATCATATCCAAATCATATAATATATAGTTTATATACTATATAGTAATTAGTTAAATTACAGATATTGTTCTGTGCAACCAGTACATATCTTATCAAAACCCTAGAAAGTTTGGGAGATGATAAGATATCAGTGTACTGGTTTCCCTCAAGAACTCAAAATATTTTAGGTCACATTATTCCCAAAACAACCCCACTCTCACCCTCCAAAGCTGAACTCATGATGCAGATTTAGGGCCATTCTTGGGACCATTTAATTTTTCTTTTTCTTTTTTTTTTCTTTTTTGTACTCAATTCAAAGTAATCATAATTTAGAAAAGAAAAGAAAAAAAAAGAGCTAGCTACTAACATGATCTCTAGTTTGTTTGGGAGTTGTTCTTTATATTTGTTTTCTGTTTTTTGGAATATAAATTCAGTGAAAACATGTTTGATTAATTTTTTTTTATTTTTTAAGATTCTCTCTCTCTCTCTCTCTCTCTCTCTCTCTCTCTCTCTCTGTTTTTATTTTTTATTTTTTTTATTTTGTTTGCTCTCTCTTATTTGCTATACTGTGAATAGAGCTGTCATTGGCTTTAAGGTTTGTAAAAAAGAGAATTATAAAGTGATAAAAAAAGAGAAGGGGAAGGAATATTTGAGATTAATATTTAGAAATTAGCAAAGAGAGAGAGATTGTGGGGATTGGCAAATTGATTTGACATCTCACTTTTTAAAAAATTATTTTATTTATTTCTTTATTTGGAATATGTTAGTGGAAGTCAGAAGATGGCCCACAATTTCCTCCATTCCCATTCAACTCTTTTTATCATTATCGTTATTTTTCTTTTAATAAATATTTTAGGAAAAATATAATTTTCTTATTTTATATAAATATAAATTTATACGTGTAGATGCTCTTTCATATATATGCTCTTTTTGCTTTTGATCGAATGGTCAGAATGAGTGGCTTCCATTTCAAGATAATCAATTTCTGATCGTTGGATGTGGGAAGATCAGACGGTGTAAAATGATTTGAATCGTTGTGAGGGGGAAAAAGTTTTTAAGAGAATATATATATATATATATATATCGGTTTTATTCTTCTCATTCCCATTGGTTGATCAACAAAGCTGAAAATTACAATCAAAGAATATAAGAATCGTAGTTTGGGGAATGGCCATGTGTCTTGGAAATTAGATTATTAATTAATCAATTATAATTCAAATTTTGGCCCGAAACCCTACATATAATAATGGATCATATGAAATAAATTGTGAAAAATAAAATGAAGGAGATGGTTTTTTATTTTAAAATTAACCAAAATAGTAAATGATACTGCTGTACTTTAAGATTTCTATTTAAATCTAAAATCAAATGTGATAAGCAATAGACAGAATGTCAATTTTTTTATTGTACGTTGAAACCATAAATCACCCTCAATTTGACATCTACTAGCCGATATGTACACATCGTGTGTTGGACTGGAATTTGAAAAACGTCATATCAATAAATTATTAAATGATAGTATAGAGGTTAATTATCAAATTTGATCATAACTCAACTGGTTATACAAGATATATATTCCAAACCAAAAGTTCGTGGGTTTGAATATTCACATCACATATGGCTATACTAAACAAATGTTAATTACTTAGAGAGTAATCTAAGAAACATCATTCGATAAATTATTGGGGGATATAAAGACATGTTTGATAGCTTAGAGAGTGAATTGAGAGAGTTATACCAATAAATCACTAATTGATAGTGTATGTTAATTGTTTAAAGGGTAAACGTAAAGAAACGCCTCATGAGTAAATCACTAATTGATGGTAGATGTTAATTGTTTAGAGGCAAAAAGATAATAGAATAATTATTTATGATTCTTTTCTTCTCGAATATAACAGTTGGGGTAGGCCGATTCAAATTCATGATTTCTTAGTTAAAGATAGGTACCCATTACCCTTAAGCTAAGCTAAGCTAACATTAACATAATACTTATTTATGGTTGATGATAGAAAAATTAGTTTAATAAATTTTAGTGTTAATAAATTGAAGATTTACCGTGGTTAAATAGTTAATCTTCTTAATTTAATTATTTATTTTTGACCTTTTATTTAAAATGTACTTTTTAAATTATTAAAGTAGTAATCATTGAGTATTGTAATTACGAGAGGAACCATAACTTCTACTATTCATGTAATTATAGCAATATAAATTCTACTATTTGCAATAATTTCAATAAAGAAAACTACTTTTATGATACTCATTAGAAAAAATCTATTGACTATTATTTAAGTACGACGAGGTGTAATAATATCTTTATTTTTATTTTTTATTAGAAATGTAATAATACCAAACTAATACATAAATAAGTCATCAAGTTTCCACATTACATAATTTCTGATACGTTAAATCATTTAATTATATATATACATAAAAAAAGATATGTTAAATCATTTCTCATAATTTTTCAGTACTGTTTATATTTATTAATTACTTTGTATTTCTTAATCTCTCTTTTTACTTGATCAATTCATTAACACGATTTTTCTTTTTCTTTTAAATCATGAACATTTGTTTATACCTTTTGTTCAGTATGACCAATGTGAGCGGGATCTGAACATCCAACTTCATATGTTAACCATTGAACTATGTTCATGTTGAACAACATTATTCGTCGTGATACTAAATAGTATGTTTTATCCTTTTAGAGGGAAGAGACAGCAAAAAGTGTTAAATGTTAGTTTTTGGTCCCAAAACTCCAACTTTTTTCATAATTTAGTCCTTAAAATTTAATCTCGTCCACCTGAAGTTTAAATGGTTCTATTTTATTGTTTCCTTAATGTTTTGATAGGATATTCTTAAATTGTTATTTTACAGTTAAAATCTAAATTAATTAAGAATAAATGAAATATAAATGACACAATATGTCAACTAAATATATAGGTATGCCAAAACAAGCATAGTTTATTGATAGTTGACATATATCTCCAACCAAAGAGGTTATGAGTTCAATCCCTCACCCGGTACTTAAAAAAAACTTAAACATATATGAATACATGTATGAATACATTGAAATGACAATATGGATATGTTAATTACACATGACTCAAATAGAAAAATAGAAATAAGAAAATCTTATAATTACTTGCAATGTGCTTTATAACATTAAATAAAAATAATCTAATACATTTTTGCTAATATAATGAAATACATAAATATATTGAGGAATTCAAAGGTTTGTTAGGATTCCAAATTCTCTTTTAAGAGGAGCAATAAACAATATCAATAACAGTAAAAATAATAAAAAGAAAAGAAATTATGCACTATTATGTAATTCATCTAATTTATAGAATTTTCCAAAGTGGACAAGGCTTTTATCCAATCATCCTTGCTTGGAACTTTTCTTTTTCTTTTTTTTTTTTTTGTTGAAATATAATGATGCATATGCTCCAAATAATAATAAATTTAGAGCAAAAATACAGCTGCATCTCATAACTGGAAAGCTATATATTTTTGCTTATCAAAGTAGGAAGAGATCTTATAAGTTGATGGCCTTTTGCTTCTTTTAGGGTTTCTTGACAATATAAATCACTTTACATTTATGTAACCCAAAAAAAAAAAATTAAAAAAATTAAAAAAAAGGGAAAAACTTGAGGATACCCATGTAACTTTAAATATCCAAAACTTTACTCTTTCTTTTTATCTTGAAGTACTTATTATTGTTTCGAGGAAAATTAAACTATAGCTTTTCATCTTTTTGTTAACTTTCAATTTGTTTCGAGGGTACACCTAACTACCTTTAGAATTAAATTAACCCAAATATGTTCGAAAAGTGTCACATCTCATATATATTTTGGCATTTCTACCCTATTTATATATGGTTTAAGTCCAAGTAGTTATGAAGTCGAACTCTTGTTACGTGGATTTGATATTATCCTAGTTTGCGAGTTTCTTAATTTTACTAGCCAGCTATATAAGTCTAAGTTGTTATACAGCCAAAACTTATAAAATATGCATTTTATACTACATATTAGAATTATGGACTCGCATGAAGTGCACAAATGACTCAAATTTGTATAATTCATCATCATTTTACACAATCAAACAATTAGATTACATAAAATTAAAATTTTCTACTACAAATTTCATTAACGTACTTAGTCTTATTTAAAAAACTCGAAGCTATACACATATATGTATATGTATGTAGGTATATATATGAGGGCATATAGTTCAATTTTTAAAGTCTAGGTCCAAATTCTTACCTCCAAATAATGGTAAAAAAAAGCAATAATAAATAGAATATTTTTTTTAATATAAATAGAATCTCCTTGCTTAAGAAAATGTCTCATTTTTATAATTCCCTATGTGAATAATTATCCAACTGAACTTATGGGTTTTGCTTTAATTTTCAAACAAATTAATCATGCATTGAAGTGGTACTTTGGATATTAATCAATGAGAGCTCTTTTCTTTTTTCTTTTAAATTCTTGCTTTCTAAGTTCTCTGAGAATAATTCCTTTCACCTAATGCTTTATTGTTTAGGGATAATTATTCCTAATCCTATTGATGTTTAGAAAGAGAGAATGAAAAGAAACTATATATGATTAATTAGCATCAACTAATTACTTACTAATGCAATGATTGCTTTAGGATTCCATGATTTGTCTTTCTTTCCCTTAGTTTCTTTTAACATAATCCAATAAAGAAAGGAGATTAAGAAAATGAAGATCTCAAAGGAAATCTAATAAAAATCTGAGAATAATGATGCTTCACTTTTTAAATTAGGCTAAACAATACAATATGATTTTTCTTTTTAATGCAAATAAGGCTGTCATGTCCATTGTTGATATAATATCATTTTTAAAGAGTTCATTATAAGTAATGTCAAATTCAAATGAGTGGTTTGGTTTTCAATTTTGTGAATGAGCAGAAATATTATGTTTTCAACCTAATGCAATCTGAGTTTAGCTCAATTAGTTAAGAGAACTTCTTTCCGAGAGTTCGAATCTCACTCCTATATGTTGTATTAAAAAAATTCAATTAATAAAATATATTTTGATATGTTCATCCTAACATGATTTTATCAATAAATTTTACCAGTTGGGATAATAACAACTTGATTGAAAAACAAACCATATACATAAAAAAGGTGAAATTAAAAGTTCTAAAAAATATATATATAAAAAAGAAAGATTTAAGGATTAAATGATGTATTTATTGTATTCAAAGAACTATTAATTAAGGGCTAAATGCATAATGAGAACCTACTACCACTAAAATTACATCCAAGCAGGATAAGCTTCACTTTTTTCTTCTTCTTTTTTCCTTTAATTTTCCCTCCAAGTTTTATATTTAGGGAATCAAAGGAAAATTTATGCTTTTGGTAGGTCTCTTTTTAATTTGTTTATCATTTTTTGGAATCAAAAGGATTCTAAGATTAATAATCAAATAGAGAGCTGCTGATAATTGGGAAAAAAAATAGTTTTGAAATAAAGAGAGTCCATAGCTATTAGCTAGAGAAGTACCAAATTTGATTTGATTGCACAAAATGCAAATAGCTTTTTTATTGACAAATAATTGTGGACCTAATTAATATATCTAAAGATACTTGGCTTACAATTCTGGTAGGTTTTAGTTTGTAAAGCTCATGATTATTATGCCAAAAATTGATGTCATTTGTGTTTGGACATTCCGGCGGGTTCCGGCACGCTCCCCATTCGATGGTCTTGAAATACGGACCAAGAAATCTGACATGTGTGCGAATTAGCCAACCCAACCGAGTCCCACGCTACGAGCACAGACGTTTCGACATCAATAACTCGACTCCTATGTATAACATGTATTTTTAGTAGTGGGATTATGATTTTTAACTGTTTGGTATCGTTATTTGGTTCATGAGATCAGCGAACTCATAATTTCGTATAAACAAATCTATAATATATAAAAAATATGTGTTTGACCTCTTACCTTTTTAATTGCATAAATCTAACTCTTGAACCAATTATAACATGTTGGGGGAGGATTCGAACTTCAATCTATTGGTTGGAAGTATATGTCAATTATCACTGAGTTAGACTCTCTTTGACAGTTTAATTTTTGTTTTACTCTCTAATGTTTTAGTGTTTTTTTAATTGGTCCCTTTATTTATTAAAAATTTTTTCAATGAGTTCTTATTTCCACCCAACGTTAAAATTAGTTGATCAATATGAAAAAACATTTTATTTATTTATTATTATTATTTTTTTTTTGAGAAAGTGAAAATGCATTTTATTAATTGGGTTAAAAGTACTATCTATTTAGTACTTGATGGGCTATTTAAAGATCCTAATTATATAAAAAATGGAATGTATAGAATTTACACATTTGTCATTATTTAAGAGGGTATCCATCACATAAATTACTTAAATACTCTCTTGTATCTACAAATTCATTTTAAATTCATTTTAAGATGCAAAATTGATTAATTGGAAGTTTATAATTTGGATCCCATAATTTTAGGTTAATGATACTTTCCAAAACAAATTAAAACACCAAAACATTAAAAAGAAAACCTTAAATTCCCCAAAATTGAAAACCTCCCAAAATATCCCCAAATCCCGTCTAAAAATCTCCCAAAAGAAAAAAAAACATCTATTTGACAAAGGTTTTTGTAAAAAAAAAAATTGACAAAGATTTGAAACAATATCCCTAAAATCCCCCAAAATTTGACAACCTTCAGAAATCCCTTAAAATTCAAAAATAACAATAGTCCAGACCATGAGACGTTTAAAACTTCAATTTTGAAGGACCCTATCTATAGAACTATAAGATATATATATACACACATATACAATATATACACATATATACGAATATAATCAAGAATACTAAGACTATGGGACATTTAGAACTTCAATTTTCTATACACATACACAAAATATATCCCCATATATACCAATTTTAACGGAAGACTAATAATGGTATGGAGGACCGTTTCTACATAACTATAAGATATATGTGTATATATCTTATATATATAAGATATATACACATATAAGATATATTCACATATACAATATATACCCATATATTAGTATATAATCAGGAATACTAAGACTGTGAGATGTTTAGAACTTCAATTTTCTATACACATACATAAAATATATCCCCATATATACCAATCTTAACGGAAGACTAATAATTACCAATGGTATAAACAGAAGGAGACAGAAGACGAGGAAGGCGTTGCATGACGTCAGAAACGTGCAAAGACGTCGATGGAAAGTTTATTCGGTGATGGAAATTGAAGGTTTGGACGTCTCTGGGGAAGAAGGAATAAATATCTTGTTGACGGAAGCACGTTGCACGGCATCGGAAACATGCAAAGACGTCGACGGAAAGAAGAAGATCTGGACGTCTATGGGAAAGAAGAAATAAATACCTCGTTGATGGAAGCCCTGAAGAAGAAAATTGAAGGTCTGGACGTCTGAAAGGAAGACGGCGGGGAACAAAAAAATGGTGGTTGTTCTTTTAATATTTAGTTTTTGGAAGGATTTATTTGGAAAAAAAAATCTAATACAAAAATTGAAACTTTGGGAACATTACAAACCAAGTTGAAAAAACACAAAAATATTATGGACAGACATAGATTTAGTCATAATATTATACATTGTGATTTTGGTGATGGTGAAATTTAGGCATGAAGATTTCTTGGAAAATCCAAATTTTTTAAAGAAGAGTGGGCCTTTAGTATTTCAGCATTTAGTGTAACAAGTTCATCCTGGAACAATTTATCATTTTAACACACTTGATACGGTCCCATTTGAGAATTGGATAAGGTTGTGCTATTCAAGATTGAATGAAATCTATGGCATATAAACATCCTAAATTATGGGAGAAGAGACAATTTTGATATTGTTATCTTCTTGGGGTATTTGTTATAAATTCAATAAAAGAAAGACTCGACTAAACAAGTGAGCAATGTGATATTTACATCTTTAAAATGATTACGAGATTCTATCGTGACACCATTGATACATTCCACATTCGCTGCAAACAGAAATAGATGGCCAGAGGCAATCTGGAGAGGAATCAGAAACTAATAGCAAACTTGTATCATTTAAAAGAACTGTATGTTTGTGAAACACACGTACAATACAATACACATAACCAAACAATCCAATCATTATTGCCTCAATTCGTAACAGAAATAAAGGAAATTCAAATGGTAAAAAAATGGGAAATGGTTTTGCAAACGGTATCTTTTTATATGGTAAACTGGAAGATTAGGCCGATCCCTTGAGCTTCTTTGTGATGGTAGCAATGTACTTTCCTTGGTGGAAGGCTTGCTCCAACTCGAGCACTGTTGGTTGTCTCGACCCATCACCGGCGAAAGTTCCAGCTCCGTAAGGACTTCCACCTTTTACGTGCTCCATCTCGAACATGCCAGCTCCGAAAGTGTAACCGATGGGGACGAAGATCATTCCGTGGTGAACCAGCTGGGTGATGGCAGTCAACCTATTGTGATGCATAATTGTTTTCAGGTTAGGATATCCCTCTTATGGTTGAATTGATCATATTGATTTTATGAGATGAATGATATGCCGAACTTACGCGGTGGTCTCTTGCCCGCCTCCCTGGGAACCGGTACTGTAGAAGATACCAGCAGGCTTGCCTGCAAGCTGTTGGGTTCTCCATAGACCTCCAGTTGCATCCAAAAATGCCTTGAATTGGGCAGCCATCATTCCGAATCTCGTCGGAAAGCCGTAAACAAACCCATCGGCTTCAGGGAGTTCGCCCGGGGTGATAATTGGTACGTCGCTCTTTGGTGGTGCACTCATCTTGGCAAGAATTTCATCATGTAATGTTTCGGGAACCTGGACAAACGTTTGTAAGGCAAACAATTGCAGGAATAACACAAATACAATCATAAAACCTTCAACAGCATAAACATTATGGGACCCATATGTTGGTGGTTGCTCTACAGTTTTTAGTACGTAAAGTTAAGATTAAAGTGATAAAAACTTTTTTTGCAAATTTGGTTATTACAAGACCAAATGCTTAATCGTCAAAAGGAAACTAAGCCAATGGCACACAAATACAATCATGGTCGGTGAAAAAGTTTTCAAATGCTAGTTTTTCAGACGTTACCTGCCACAACTTGGCGTCAACACCTTCTACAGATTCTGCCCCCTTCTTAATCTCTTCCGCAAGTCTCTGAACATGTCCATACATGGAATAGAAGCTATAGCAATAGCAGCAAATTAATTTTATAACAATAGGAGGCCGAGTTACAGAAAATATTTAGGGGCACACTTGTGCAAGTAAAAGAATAATCCTACTTTTCAGAACAGAAAAAGTAGCAACGAATTAGATACAAGGTGGAAAAACTGCATGGCATCCGGATAGCTAGAAATTAAAGAACTACTTTCAAATGCGATCTCTTTTATTGTCAAGACACATCATTAGTCATTAGAGCTAACTCATTTGCTTAATCATTGCATAGTTATCTGGAAAAGCTAATAACTCGTTATCCAGTGGCCTGAAAAGTTTCTAATTCATTGTACTAAGTAAACTAGCGAATGTATTGAAGCCTAACATTACCAGCACCAGGATCTGATGTGATAAGTCCAAGTTCACCTAGAGTTTAACATCATCATTCTTAAAGGTCACACAAGAGTGGAAATGGCATCCAAACTAATCAATGTGATAACCAATGTCCTATACTTTTTCAATTAATGTGAACCTGTCCCTATTCCAATAGCCCAAAACAAATTAAACTAAGAAAAAGGGATATCATCGGGGTAGGAAAGCATATTAGAAATAGCCAAGAATTTGCCAACAAACCCATCTAACTTTCACCTGAGTAAAGACCATGATGTAAGGAATCTATAGCATCTAAATGTACAGTCAACCACATAGCAGGTTAGCAGGTAACTACGCAAGTAAATGAAAGGAAAACAAACATGTCGACACAGGAGTATGCAAGTAAATAGATAATGTGAAGTATTTGACCTGCATCTTTCATATTGGATTTGGCTACATCTAAGAAATGATACAAGTCAAAACTATCATAGTGTAATCGAAAAACAACATTTCTACTTCCCAGAAGCTTTTATAAGTAATGGCACCAAAAAAGGAAAGGTAAAAAATTGGTGTATCAAGCATATTATAAGTTACATAAAGTTAAGTAACAAACAATAATGAATAAATCAAAATCAACTAATTATTCATTTTCTTTAAATGCTACATCCAAAGACAACATTGAGAAAGGTCTTTCAAATCCAAAGACAACTAATTATACATAGAAATACCTCTGAATATGACAGTCGAGTGGAATATTGAAAATTGATAATGATAAGAACTAAAGATAACATATTTAAGAACAATTTGTCCTGTTATCAGTTAAAAATTTACCTATTCTCCATATATCATATTTATCGAATCACATTACCATTCATTCTACCACTAGACAAACGTGACAACTCATGCTGACTAAGCTGAAAAGCTCTGTTCGTTACAAGTTACTATCTTTGCTTGACAGTTTGTGTTTTTGAAGTAACAACAATAGACTGCAATGCAGAAAATTACTGAACCTTATAATACATACTGACCATAGGTTTCCATCCCTTTAAGAATAAGTTCCCAACACTTATATCTATGATGCACAAAACTAAAGTTTAAAGGGCAAAGGGGCCCAAATGTTGTCAGAATCGGGAGAATGGGAAATAAGGTTATAAAACATTCTATTGCATGAGGAAGCTGGAAGTGGCACTGGTAATATCAACTTAATACAGAGCCATGCTTCTTACCTAGCAGAGCTATATAGATTGCTAAGCATGTCTAGTTCATAGTAAAGAAGTGTATATAAGATGTGCAACAATTAGAAACGTTTGTATTTCAAAATTTGTTAAATAATCCTTTTTTTCTTTAAGGAAAGCACAGAGGACGTGTTCTAAATGGACAATCAGTAGGTAATAAATGTTTACGAGACAAATAAGTCCTAGATACCAAGGATGAACCTCAACTGTTTCCCAGCACAAAAAATGCAACATTTAAAAACTAAACTAGTTAACTTTCGGCAGTTGTAGAATAGAGTCTCTTGGCAGTCCAATTTTTTGGTTGAAAATTAGAAGCAGTCAACTTTAACAAATCAAATAGAAACCTTTTAGAAAACGAAAATGAAAGTCTGATTCTGATTCTGATCTAGCCTGTGAATCTATGAATCTCATACAAGGCAATTCAAGAATTCATTTGAATGTAGAAATGAATTTCCTGAGCAAATACTGCAGTGAACATGAATATTTGGCCTTCAAATCCATCGTTATTCCTATTGTTTGAGCTAATTTCATTTTAAATAACAGTGGTAATGAAAGGCTAAAAGGAATAAATTATTGATTTTTTAGTGCTTCTGGTTAATTCAGAAAAAGAAAAAGTCAACACAAAATCTCAAGTCCAAAAGCTAAAACTACTTGGTTAAGCGCTTAAGAAAGTCAAGAATTGTTCAGGAAATAAAATTCACAAGGAAACCTCATTTCCGAACTAATCCTACAAAATTAATCATATCAAGTAAGAAGAAACATTCCAATTGCTAGGCATCTTTCCCAGCGATTCAGTTCCCAAGCACACATCACATAAAAGCACCAAAATCAGCATGCAAACGAAACCGGAAATTTGACAGAACACAAATCGCAATGAGATCCACAACGTTAAAAAAAAAACAACAATACGAAAAGAGATCTAGAAACGACTCTTCAAAACGAAAACGAGAAAGCGATCGGAATGCGAAACGGACGCAAGGGCACATCAGTGAAAATCCGAGCCACATAACAAAAATGGAAACAAAATTACATGAAATTTGAAGAGAAAGGCAAAGGGAACGAGGAGAGAAGCGATGGACATACACAATATACACTTTGGTCGCCATTGATGCAGTCGCGGAAGGTCTGTGAGAATTGTGTGGCTGATTTGTGAGCTGAGATTTTGATTAATCGTTGGTCGATCGATGGAGAAGTTGGTGGGAACCATGGGGATTATTTATAGGTGCAGAATTGCGATTCGGCTGCTTAATTTTGAATTTTTTATCCAATAAAAACGTAATTGGAAAAAAGAAAAAAAAAACAAAATAAAGAAATTGGAAAGTAGTTTTCTTAAACTTAATTTTTAAAATAAAAAACTAAAAGAATCGTTCAAATGAAGTTTAAATACTTTTATAATTTCTATTATTTTTCTTANTTTTTTCTTTCAATACTCTTCAAATTAAAATTACATTTTATTGTATTTTCGTTTACATATTTTGACTTTAGAACTCTGAAATTTCTCTTAATTAAAATTATTTCTCTCTTTCGTGCCTTTTTTTTTTCACCGTTGGTCCAAGACACGAAAACTGAACACATACATAACATTATAGGGTAAAATACTAAAGTATATTTTTGGTGTTGAGTTTGGACCTGATTTTTGTTTCAGTCATTGAGTTTTAAAAAACTATCCTTTTTTGTCTTTTACAATTAAATTTAGTTTTTATTTGTTCTTTAAAGTTTTTTTTAGTAACGTATGGATATAGGAATTCAAATTCACGATCCTTTTTGTTGGAGATAAGTGTCTTATCAATTGAGCTATGTTAGGTTGACTTAATTGCACTACAAGAATTTCAGGTTTTGGCAATTCAAAATTCGTCGTCAAAAGCTGAATTTTCGTCCCCAAATCGTTGTCATAGGGCCGTCGTCAGACGTTTTCGATGATGAAAACCAATTCGGTGACGACTTGGCGACGAAAACGAATGGTGTCGTCGACAATGATTTAGTCCTTCAAATTTGAATTTAGTTTTTAATTCGTCCATAAAATTTGAATTTGATTTTTAATTAATTTTTTAGTTGAGTTGATTCGTTGGATACAATAAGATCATATCTCTCAAATAATTGAATACAAATGAATCTAGTTCACTGTTGAGAAATTGTTGATTCCCATGGTAAGTTTTAAACTTAGTGTTAATGTTAAACTCGAGGTGAAAAAAGAGGAAGATGCATTGTGCTGTTGGAAGAGTGGAAAAAAAGAAAGGCTAACCGAAAAGAGGAAAAAGGAAGATGAAGCGATAACAATGTCACTTGAACACAAGAGAATAAAGAATAATAAAATTTGTCGATTAATTTAAAATATACACATCACTAAATTAGTCAAGTCAGCATATATTTATGTATCTTATCAACTCAACTCACCAGCAATTAAAAGCCAAATTCATACTTGGACACGTTAAAAACTAAATTTAAATTTTGGGACCAATCATGTCACTTTTAAATTTTCAAGGAACGAGTTGAAACTAAATTTAAATCTCAATGACAAAAAATGATGGTTTTTAAAATTACAAATATAAACCAAGCCTAAATCTCAGACACAAAAATGAATTTTAAAATTTATAGAGAATAAGATCTTACTACCTAGAATCAAAATAGAAATAAGATTAATTTTTAAAATTATAGAATTAAAAATGAAATCATTCTCAAAAGGGTACTTTAATTTAGATTATATTATCGTATAGTGAGAATAAAACACCAACTAATTGATTACCAATATATTAATTACAATTATATCATCATTATTAACAAATTTCTGAAAAAGAAATATAAAAGTTGGACAGCATTGAACCATAAAATTTTACTGAAACCTAAATTAAATTATTAAAAACTATAATTGGGGCCGAGGAACGAAAATAATTGAACAGTTAAAAGGGTCGCGAATACTTATATAGTTAGTTTAAATTAAAAATTGAGTAAAAAAAATAATAGAAATGATAAATATATAATTTACTTTGTGAATTAAAATTGTAATTTTTGTAATTTGTTATACATCAAAATTGATAATATAAATATAACAAATAATTTGAGGGACCACCATGCTCTGCCCCTAAATAATAGAATTGTTCACGTTATAAAAGATTACCAACTTGAACACAATTCAACAAATTAAAACATCTATCAACAACCAAAAAGTGATAAGTTCAAATTCTCATCTCCAAACGTCGTATTAAAAAAATATTCATAAATAGCATTAGATATTTTTATAAACAAAAAGTAGTGTAAAATATTTAGTTTATTGCATTACATATACTTCCAGAGGGGATAAAATTATTAAATAAAGATTAAAATTTGTTGGGGGCTATTTCTAAACATAGTTTTCTATGTTTTAAAATAAAATTTTAAGTAAAACAGTTAAGAAATTATTTTTAGAAAAACTTTTGGTTTGTTTTTACAGAAAAATTATTTTTGTTTCAACTTGGACACATTGATTGGGAAAGTAGTGGCCGATCATAAATAGATTTACAAAGAACCCAACAAAAATCAAGAAAAAATCACAAACGATTTTATATTAGTGGGACAGTGGTGGTGGGTGAGGAAGATGATAATGAAAATTTAATTCTAAGATTTAACTATTTTTTAAGAGTTGGGAAATCTGTTAGTTTTTTAAATTTAAGGATCAAATAAAAATCTGAGAGATTAAAATTCTATTTCATTATTTTTTTAGTAGAATAAATATAAGTATTATTAATAAGCGAAAAATGCTTTTCAACTCATTCAAAAGTTAGCTCAAACCAACATTTAAGTATAGATGACTTCATAATGACAAACTTTATAAACCCAGCTCATAAATAAAATATCTATCTATCGATTGATTCTTTTTAGGACACATTCATGATTCATAGGATCTAAATGGTAGGTGTCAAATGATATATTTATTATACATATATAAATGTGAAAGTCAAATTTATGGTCTAAAATAAAATAATTTGAATGGGTTTGATTGGGCACATTCTTTTTTCAAGCAAGGACACATGTATTAAGTTAAAAAGACAGATTAAATATTTTTTTGAAGTTAGAAGGCTTGTTTTAGTCTCTGAATTTTTTAGTTTGTGTTTAATGAGTCTTTTAAGTTTTTTATTTTTTTTATTTAATAGATCATTGAATCATCCAACATTTTCTAAAATTTACCAATTTATAAAATACAAAACTAAAAGTTTGTGGTCGTCCGTTAATTTTAGAAATTGAAAGTTCAGATACTTCCAAGACACAAAATTGAAAGTTGGGGAATATATTAGATATTTTTTAAAATTCAATAACCTACAAAAATGTCAATATGAGATAGCTCGACATAATTGATATGTATTCTTTTCTTCGAGTCGGAAATTCAATTCCCATGTCTCCAAATTGTTATTAATCAAATATATATATTTATATAACCATTTAAAAAAATTTAGGGATTAATTTGTAGAATTTTGATTAATTATTTATATCATAATAATTGGATTCAATATTCGCTGTGTCGTGGTCTTCGGCCGCCCTGTCGGAAGTTGTTAGATCTTATTTGGACCGTCAATTTTGCCAGCCTTTTTCCCTAATAATTTTCAACCAAGAACCAAAATAAGGAAATAAATAAATCAGACATTATTTCTATTTTAGTATTGTATGAGTTTTTTAAAATTTATTTGTCTTGGTCCATGTCCTTTTGAATTTTCACACTTATTTATCAATCGAAATAGATTTTTTTTCTTCTATCAAATGAAATTTTCATATCACATGTGGAATTACAACTTTTCAATATGGGTCTTACAAATACCATATTACAGATGTGAGATAGAAATTTGAAAGCACGACTAATTGAAAAAAAAAAGTAATATAAAGTGAGCTGCAATATTAAAAAAATTCAATTCCAAATATCACAATAGCATGGAAAAACTAAGTTTCATTGTTAAAATTAATGTATTAAAAACATATATAATTAGGATAAAATCATACCCTATGTTTGCTACTTCCCCAATATAAAATTCTAGAAATTCGTCTTTGACATCTAAATATTGTTTGGTTATACCATTGATAGTTTCATTTTCCACCCCACAATTGTTAGAATAAAAAAGATAAATTGACACTTCAATTTTAAGATACAAATTGTATTTATTATTTAGGTTTAAATACTATTTTGGTCTCTATAATTTTAGATTTTTGCCTATTTTAACCCACGTACTTTCAAAGTTTCCTTTTGATCCTTACTTTTAAAAAGTCATCCTATTTTTTCATTCATTTTCTTTTATTTCTATTTTTTATATTACAATTTCAACACACAACATTATAATCACTGAACTTCTTGAAATTATCCACATCTTTACATTAAAAGAAATTGTGTTAAAATTTTACCAACAAGAATCAAAATAGTCACTTGTTTAAAATACAATAGTAAAATGAAGCAAAAAATCAACATTTTTTTTTAAATTACAAAGACTAAAATGAAGCAAAAATTTAAACTCACAAATATGAAAAAAATGAACAAAAATTTAAAGTACAAAGATTAAGATAAACATTTTTATAGTACTAAAATTAAAATAATAAACTGTAAATAAAATTACATATAGACTAAAATAATATTTAAATCTATTATTTATAACCACGGTGATGAATCTCATGCCCACTTCAACATTAGCTCACGATCGCATCACCGCCCTCTGACCATATCCATATAAAATGAATAATATTTTTATTACTTTCTT